ATATATAATCGGTTTGGGTTTGTTTCACCTTGTTGTATATATTTGTGTTCGTTTTGGGTTTGGTTTGTTGCACTGCGTTTATGTTTGTGTTGTCCTTAATAAATTATCTTGTTTACACTCTATACCTGAAGTCTGTGTTTCCCTGTGTCGGTCCACACACCTCTGGTCATTCCCGGAGCCCTGACAGGCACCATGGTACATTCATATGACCACAGAATACATGCCAAATACACAAAGGACACCATGCCACACACACTGTTATACTCAGCACCCCACATCATGCACCAAACGTAGGACACCTTAGAATATACCCCCAAAACAACATAATATTTGTATAAATGTTTCCTATTTTAATCTCAATCTATTAGGTGAAGCTCTAGTCTCTTTTCACAAGCTTTTCTCTTTTCTAGTCTCTTTTCAAAATGTACACAATGAATTAAATGTGCCAGTGGAATGATACATCCCTCTCTCATCTCTGTGCTCAATTCGGAGTTTTAGTTAGAGAGACCATTAAAAAAGGCAAACTGCTCAGGCAGTGCTTTCATTAGAATACCCATAATGCTGTGTGAATGCAGTGTCATAAATGTAGTTATTAAATGTTCATTTTTATTATTTTTGGGGTTCCGGAGCTACAAACACCCAGCATGGCTCAGTGATGTCAACAGAGCTGCATTTATCTTTATGCACAATAGCAGATCTTTCCTGTTTTTTATTATTTTTAACAAAAATCATTTATTTGTATTAAATCATAAAACCTGTAAAAGAGATATAAATAAAAATATATAAGGCCCCTTTCATACAAAGAGCCCCATCAGTTCCACCTATTAGTTTTTCAGGAGGATCTGATTGGACCCTCTATTTACCCCTATAGACCAGTGGATGTAAACAGACTTGTGTCCATTTACACAAGCCTACCTGCAATCTGGTCCGATCCAAATAAAAAAAAAAAAAAACGGAAGTGGATCTATCCCCCTCAGTCTCGGCATATCAGATCAGAGGACAGTCAGGTGTAAATGGACGGTGGAAAATGGAGTCTGTTTACACCCATAGACCCATAGATCAGAGCAGGCTGTGTCATTGTCCACTCTGCATAAACTGAGCAGACACAGACCTGTCATCCGCCTGCTCTGCTTTGATCAGCAGGAGATCAGCGGACAGATCCCCTGCAAATCTAAATGGAGCTCGCCCCATGTGAAAGGGGCCTAAAAGTAAGACGGAACCACAACAATTATAGTTTCAATTTAAAAAGGTCTTCGTGCTATCCTTAAAAAACAAACAGTTTAAGATTACATAAGTAAGAGATCTCTTTGTCAACACAGTTACATTGGGAGAGATTTAGTAACCCCCCTGGCGGTATTCCCGAGTGTAGCTCGGGGTAAAGTTTCAGTACCATAGGCGGTAAACCTGAGCTACATTCTTGTATCAAACCATTTCACATACATTTTGTCCCGAGTGCTTTGTCCTGCCCTGCCTGCATTTTTACTGTACTTATTGCCTGGAAACTGAGAAACGTCCATGGCGTCCAAAAAGCGTCCCTTTACGTCAAAAGCGGTTTTAGACCGGCTAGAGAACAGCGATAGTAAATCAGAACCACTTGCAGAATTGAGTGATAATGATTCATGGGGGAAATTCATCATCAGACACTGAAAACAATTTTGCGTCTTTGCTCAGTGATGTGCGAACTTGGCGCTATATTTCAAATTTCAGTGTATTTGGTTTGATTATATTATTGAATTAAAGTTATTATTATATTATTTTTTATGATTATTTATTAAATTATAATTTATGATTTCGTGTTTCAAGTTTTATCCTACCCGGGATGTTTACTAGACTCTTGTTCGGACAGATTTCAGAGAGTTATTCCTAAGAATTACAGGCCTACAATATAAAACGCCAAATTTCCATGCAAAATAATGGTACCGCTTTCAGCACCAAAAATCTGAAATAATCATACCGCCAGGGAGGTTAAAATTGGTACACACAGAATCTGATGTAGCTGTACATAGTAACCTATCGGCTTCCAGGTTTTACTGTCAAAGCTTAATTGAACACGCTGAAGTTAGAAGCTGATTGGCCACCATGTACACCTGCATCAGATTTTGCACTCTCTAGTTTTAGTAAATCAACCACAAAGTGTTTTTTAACTACTACAACAAGCTGATGTTAGAAATGATTAGTTAATATGCACAACTGCACCAGTTTTAGTGACACCCCCCCCCCCCCCCCACTGTTTATGCAGTATGCTGTTACACAACCACTTTTTATATTTTTTTTCTGAAAAATTATCTGCCTTTTATATATGCTTTTGCTACTTAAAATTCTAATATACAGTAATCTATCTTGATTTTATATTGCAGACACTGAAACTACTAAAACTGAGACTTTATTAAGGTGTGCAGACTTCTGACATCCAGTTGATTTTTAGTTACTTCCAAAATGCACCATAAATGTGTACACTGCATGGATGTATCTTTTTTTATTTTTTCCAGTGTTTTAAATTTGCTTTTAAAATAATATAATGTAAAAATATAAATTAGGAAATGTTAAAAAGACCTGAAAAATGACTTTAATTACTTTTTTTTTTATTAGTTCCATAGCTAGCAACCAGTTCTAAAGAAGTAAGAATTTCATATTTAATTAGTATTTCTGTTATGATTTAATACCTTTTTTATGCTTCAAACCAATATCAGCCCTTTTAACAGTAATTAATAATTTCTAAAGGTAAACTAAAGTTATTATTCAGTTAGAAAATGCAACAAATAAGTAATTACCACCCTCTTGTGTTGTGTTGAGTTATGTTGTGTTTAATGGAGATTTATGATTTAGTTAACAGATATAAATCAAGTTTTCAGTGGATCAAAAATACCTCTCTGAAGGTAGAATCTTCATGGGTAATGAGTGATACATGTAAAATATTGTGTTTGCAACCACCGGGTGGCACCGTGGTTACGACAAAACACATATATCAGGTGCCACGTCCCAATTTCGGAAGTCCAAGGATTTTTGGAAAAATATGTGGACTTTTTAGGCACCATAACCTGATAAAAAAATATATCTATTTATTGACAAAACTTTTTTTACAAAACATTCCATCATATAATAAAAACTTCAACCATTTCATAGGTGGAATAATGATATATTTCCCCGAACATTTAGTTAAGGTACTCGGTGTCATACAATCTTGTCCATCGTCATGTGGTATGATTTCTCCAACTATAGGGGTTTTCCACTTTGAATGGTAATGCCCTACATGTTTTGTGACCAAAATCGCTTCCTAGGGGGCTTGTGTTACATTAATGAGTATAGGTATATGTACACACAGTATTCAAGGCAATGATTGGGACACCCCCAGCACGGGAGCGGATCCCTCACCAATTAGTGAAAGTGGGAGCACAGAAACAATAGAATTTCACATATGACTGTCAGCCTGCTCAGTACTTTCAAACCCTCCACATCATGGATGTCAAACTGGTGGCTCTCCAGCTGATGCCAAACTAAAAGTCCCATGAGGCATTGCAAGATTGACAGTTACAAACATGACTCCCAAAGGCAGAGGGATGATGGGACTTGTAGCTTCGCAACAGCTGGAGGGCCACCAGTTTGACACCCCTGCTCCACATGAAAAGATTATGGCAGAAGGCAGTATTCTAAATCCTTTACTAGGTGAGAATTCCAGTGGCTAATCTTAAAGTGTTTACTCAACCCAGGACCCCGCATTCACTATATCTGGTCTCCCACAATACACACTACATACAAATGCAATTATTTTAGTAAATATTAACTGCTAAATACCTTTTCTCATCAGCACTTAGAGCAGACTTGTGACTTCTATCAGTGTCCAGCAGAGCACTGGTTAAAGCTTGTAAGATGAGTTTTATTTCTGCACTAGGAGGATACAGAACCCCTGACCTCTGTCTGAACAGTGCTGATTGGCTCTGAGCTGATCATATGCACTCTTCCAAGCACAAAAAAAAAAACCTCTCCAGCAATACACCAAACTGAGCATGTACAGAGTGTCTTCACACGATATGTCTTATCAGGAGATAAGAGGGAACACTGGAAGAAGGGGAGGATCAGAGAAGTCAGGATCGAACAGCATTTTTTACGCAATGCAGAGAATGAACCACAGAGAGGATATCAAGCATGCTTTACTGCATATACAGACTGATTTTACTGTTGTGGGTTTAGTAACACTTTACGTTTGTATCACCTACAGGATATCCACATATCTGTCTATATATGCTCTGCTAGGGGAATATACTTCTCACTAAAAGCCAAAAAGCAACTGCTGTATAGCAAAAGCTTGGTCGCCAAATTCACCATTTCACCAGATAGGTAGTCTGTTGTTTGGGTTTGTCAATGTCCAGAGTGCCAACGAGTAACTGTTTTCGGTTGATTGGCTAAAACTGGAAAGTGCAAAATCTGGTGCAGCTCTGCATAAAAACCAATTAGGTTCCAGGTTTTTTTGTGTATGTCAAAGCTTAAAGTGGTTGTAGAGATAAAAGGTTTTTTACCTTAACCTCCCTGGCGGTATGATTATTTCCGATTTTTTTGTGCTGAAAGCGGTACCATTTTTTTGCATGGAAATATGTAGTTTTTTATTGTAGGCTGTAATTTTTAGGAATAACTCACTGAAATCTGTCCAAACAAGAGTCTAGTAAACATCCCGGGTATGATAAAACTTGAAACACGAAATCATAAATTATAATTTAATAAATAATCATAAAAAAAATAATAATATAATAATATTACATTTAATTCAATAATATAATCAAACCAAAAACACTGAAATTTGAAATACAGAGGCAAATTCGCACATCGCTGAGCAAAGTCGCAAAATCGTTTTCAGTGTCTGATGACGAATTTCCCCCACAAATCATTATCACTCAATTCTGCAAGTGGTTCTGATTTACTATCGCTGTTCTCTAGCCGGTCTAAAACCGTGTTTGACCTAAAGGGACACTTTTTGGACGCCATGGACTTTTCTAAGTTTCCAGGCAGAAAGAACAGTCAAAATGCAGGCAGGGGACAGGACAAAGCAGTAGGGACAAAATATATGTGAAATGGTTTGATACAAGAATGTAGCTCAGGTTTACCGCCTATGGTACTGAAACTTTACCCCGAGCTACACTCGGAATACCGAGGGAGCATTGAAACAGCATTGACAGCAAAAATGACATTTTTACGTACGTCCCGACGTCACAGGGACCGGAAAACAGAAGCCGGATGCCGGCATCGGCCGGAGGAGATGGCCGGGGACGCTGCAGGAGACACATCGCGGGAGCGAAGGACAAGGTAAGTGCTGCAGGGACCCCTGAGCAACGCCGCATGGTAAGCCTGAGTGTAGCTTGGGGTTACTGCTCTTGGTACTCAAATTTTACCCCGAGCTACACTCGGAACATTGCTAAGGAGGTTAATGCATGCTCTGCATTACGGTAAAAAAAACCCTTTAACCTGCAGGCCCCACACAGCCCCCCTAAATACTCGCCTGATCTTGGTCCAGCATTGTACATGTTTGCAGCTGCTCCTCTTCTCTCCGGCTCTCACGGGCTTGACTGAGAGCAGCAGGAGCCTTTGGCTCCTACTGCTGTCAGTCAAAACCTGAGAGCAGGGGACAGGCCTGAGCCCAGTTGTGTGTCTGAATAGACGCAAACAGCCAGGCTCGGGAACGAGCCTGCACAAGTGCCCATCATAGGAATCAGCTTCCAAAGGTGGGCATTCAGTGGAGGGGAGGAGTCAGGAGTGCTGATTGCTTTAATTAAACAAGCTGAAGTTAAGAGCTGATTGGCTACCATACACAGCTGCGCCAGATTTTGAACTCTCCAGTTTTAGTAGATCATCCCATTTGTGTTAAATTGCAATCGAAAATCATGTGACATGGTCAGGCCTCTCCATGATGCTTAGTATCCCCTCTGACCCAGAAAACAGATTTCCCACCATATGCACAAATCAATAGGGTCATGTGCATGGATCCCCCCTGATAAAAATCTAAGCATGCTGAAGAAGATGACCATTTCATGTGTTATACTGTGCAGAAGGGTGAGTACAGACTGCTGCTACAAAGAGCAGCAGACACAGGTCCCGACATGTCCCGAGTGCTTTGTCCTGGCGCCCTGCCTGCATTTTTACTGTTCTTATTGCCTGGAAACTGAGAAACGTCCATGGCGTCCAAAAAGCGTCCCTTTATGTCAAAAGCGGTTTTAGACGGCTAGAGAACAGCGATAGCAAATTAGAACCACTTGCAGAATTGAGTGATAATGATTTGTGGGGAAATTCGTCATCAGACACTGAAAACGATATTGCGACTTTGCTCAGCAATGTGCGAACTTGGCGCTATATTTCAAATTTCAGTGTTTTTGGTTTGATTATATTATTGAATTAAATTTATTATTATTATTTTTATGATTATTTATTCAATTATAATTTATGATTTCGTGTTTCAAGTTTTATCCTACCCCGGATGTTTCACTGAAATCTGTCCAAAGAAGAGTCTAGTAGTTATTCCTAATAATTACAGGCCTACAATATAAAACGCCAAATTTCCATGCAAAATAATGGTACCGCTTTCAGCACCAAAAAATCTGAAATAATCATACCGCTAGGGAGGTTAAACAGATGGAACTCCTCTATTAGTGTAGAAGACCTAGCACCTATTTTTGAGGGTGACGCTCAGAGTGGAATATTACAGGTCACAAATGCTTCCAATGTCAAGACACAAAGGTTGGCCGCACAAGCAATGATGTAGTAGATAAAATCCTTTATTGGAATCCTTCACAAACAACGTGGTAAGAACATCACAGCTCCAAGACTGGACAGAGAAACAGTAGATGAATTTCACATGAACACGTGCTTAGTCATTACTGATTTCATTTGTCAAAAGCAGCTTTAAAGAGCATGTGACCGCTGATTGCAATTAGCAATTTAGCATGGCTCAGAAATAACAGCATACAATTGAAACAACACATCATTAAAAACATAGTACATAGACTGACAAAAATGAAAAACACCTCTGATCTCTGCCGTGCCCAAAGAAGAACATAAATGTATCAAATGTAACCTTGCTTAATCAACAAGGAAAACACCTTCAATTTGTATAGTGCAGTGGTGGGCAACCTTTTTTTTCAACTGAGCCAAATCTCGCCAAAACCACGATTGAAATTTATTTTGAGAGCCACATTTTTAAAACTGAAAATACATCCCCCATATAGTAATTCATCCCCCATAGTAATTCATCCCCCATATAGTAATTCATCCCCCATATTAATTCATCCCCCATATAGTAATTCATCCCCCATAGTAATTAATCCCCCATATAGTAATTCATCCCCATAGTAATTCATCCCCCATATAGTAATTCACCCCCCATATAGTAATTCATCCCCCCATAGTAATTAATCCCCCATATAGTAATTCATCCCCCATAATAATTAATCCCCCGTATAGTAATTCATCCCCCATATAGTAATTCATCCCCCCCTATAGTAAGTCATCCCCCATATAGTAATTCATCCCCCATAGTAATTCATCCCCCATATAGTAATTCATCCCCCCTATAGTAATTCATCCCCCATAGTAATTCATCCCCCATATAGTAATTCATCCCCCATAGTAATTCATCCCCCATATAGTAATTCATCCCCCCTATAGTAATTTATCCCCCATATAGTAATTCTTCCCCCATAGTAATTCATTCCCCATATAGTAATTCATCCCCCCTATAGTAATTCATCCCCCATGGTAATTAATCCCCCATATAGTAATTCATCCCCCATATAGTAATTCATCCCCCCTATAGTAATTCATCCCCCATAGTAATTCATCCCCCATATAGTAATTCTTCCCCCATAGTAATTCATCCCCCATATAGTAATTCATCCCCCCTATAGTAATTCATCCCCCATAGTAATTAATCCCCCATATAGTAATTCATCCCCCATATAGTAATACATCCCCCATATAGTAATTTATCCCCCATATAGTAATTCTATCCCCATAAAGTAATTCATCCCCCATATAGTAATTCATCCCCCCATATAGTAATTCATCTCCCATATTGTGTCAATTCACTTACCTTTGCTCCGCGCGTTCCTCTCGCCGTGTTCCCGCGCCGTTCTGGTCTTCAGGGTGGACTGTGAGAGGAGAGGAGTTCGTCACGCTGCCCGCCTACATCCTGACAGCCAATGTTTGCCACGCTCCGCGGGCCGGATTAAAAGGTCTGCCGGGCCGTAGTTTGCTGGGCTAGCTGCAGAGTCCTGACTTTTGGGGCGGCCGCCCGAGAGGAGGGAGGGGAGCGGGCGCCCGGCACACAGAAGAGCCGCATTAAAGTGTGTAAAGAGCCGCATGTGGCTCGCGAGCCGCGGCTTGCCAACCACTGGTATAGTGCAAGCTGGGAAGTGAGCTGACCCAAAAATATAAAGAAAAAAAAGAATATAAATAAGATACAAAGTTAAAAAATTATAAGGAAAATGAGAGAGATGTTTCCAGCCTGAGGTAAGAAGAAAAGATGCCCCAACACAAGTACCTAAATGGCTCCAGCAGACCAAAGAAACTTTATGTATGTGGAGGGTATATAGTGTTACTATGATGGACATAAACAACAAAATTCCTAGGCAAGTCTCTCAGGACTGGTTGGCTCTTTACTCATATATGGGCTGGGTGTGCAAGAAGGAAAGAACTGAAAGCAGAATGTCTAAAGTCCAGATTTCATTTTTTGTGTCATAAAAAGCCAATGCCATTAGGGGTTGGTACTATTAAATGAAATGTGTACTGGACTAATAGAATTAGGGGGGATCCTGAGGAGTAATTAATATGGCTGTTCCAGATTCTGGTTAAGTCTTTAGGTTACTTGGCCAGAAATGCACTCTCACTAATTTCCTACTGTGGGCTGCCAACACAGAGCATTTTGTGGACTGTGGTGTTAGATCTGCCCATCTCCTTTTGCTAAACTACGTGGTTAGCACTTCTGCCTGGCAGTACTAGGGTCGCTGGTTCAAATCCCAACCACAACACCACCTGCCTGGAGTTTGCATGTTCTCCCTGTGCCTGCGTGGGTTTCCTCCGGGTGTTCCGGTTTCCTTCCACACTCCAAAGACATGCTGGTAGGTGAATTGGCTCCTGTCTAAATTGTCCCTAGTATGTGTATGTATGAATGTGAGTTAGAGACCTTAGATTGTACGCCCCTTGAGGGTTAGGGAGTGATGTGAATGTACAATATATATGTAAAGTGCTGTGTAAATTGAAGGCACTATACAAGTACCTGAAATAATAATAATAATAACTAGTCCCACTGTCTTCTTCACAAAGAAATGGCACAAAATGACTTGTAGTCCTTTGACAGAGACCTGGAAGACTAGATATATTTTTGAGATAACCTAAGCAAAAAGCACAGGGCAGCTCTACGTGGGTATTTTGTTGCCCTAATAAAAGAGATATATAAGAATGCTTTAAATTGTATGTTTTCTAGACGAAATAGGAGCAGATAAGAGAAGTTCATAGTTAGAATTTACATACTGCACACTTTAACCACTTGCCTACCGGGCAAACCCCCCCCCCCCCCCCCACCCTCCTGCCCAGGGCAATTTCCAGCTTTCAGCGCTGTCACACTTTGAATGATAATTGCGCGGTCATGCAACACTGTACCCATATGAAATTTTTATCATATTTTGAGACAGATAGAGCTTTCTTTTGGTGCTATTTAATCACCACTGGGTTTTTATTTTTTGATAAACCAAAAACAACTGAAAATGTTTCTCCTTCACTGATATGCGCTAATGAGGCTGTAGTGATGGGCATTGATAGGCTGCACTGACGGGCACGGATGAGGAGGCACTGGTAGATGGCACTGATGGGCATTGATAGGCATCACTGATGGGCATTCACAGACATCACTGATGGACACTGAAAGGCAGTACTCATATATGGCACTGATAGGCGGCACTGATCGGCAGCACTGACTGGTACTGTTAGGTGGCACTGATAGTTGGCACCGATTGGCAGCACTCATAGGCAACGCTGACTGGCACTGATAGGTGGCACTGATAGTTGGCACTGACAGGCAGTTCAGATGGGCACTGATATGTGGCATTGATGTGCACTGGTAGGCACTGATATATGGCATTGATGGGCACTGACAGGTGGCATTAATGGGGCTACACTGATCATTAGTGCCCTGATGATCAGTGTAGATGTCCCCTCTGAAGAATACCGATTTCCAGCTTCCCTCTCCTCTCCTCTGTCAGCGTGACAGCTCGAGAGGAGAGAAATGCCGATAACTGGCATTTCCTTATTTACATGTGATCAGCTGTGATTGGACACAGCTGATCACATGACCGAGCCAAAGTCATCGACTCTTTCTGCTGATCGGTGATCCGCTGTGTCGCAGGGACACAGCGCACCACCAATTGCCCCCCGGGGGTGCGCAGCGCGGTTAGAGTGGGAAGACGTCATATGGCATCCTCCCAGATTGAGAGAACCACCTTGCGCCCTTCATTTCCTTAAAATGGCATGCAGGAAGCGGTTAAAGGCAGAAAGGACGGTGGTGCTAGGAGCTTCTAGTGTACTAGCAACAGCAGAAGCCATGTAATTCCAAACAAACTTGTCCCCCTTCATGTTATAGGTGCATTACAGGCAGGGGTGGACTGACAACTCATGGGGCCCCTGGGCAATAAGGGCTCATGGGGCCCCTGTGTCCTTGCCCAAACTCAAAAAAGCCTATGAAAAAGGTACCAGGGGCATCTAATGGGGCCCCCTACTGACCCCGGGCCCTCAGGCAGTGCCCGAGTTTCCAAATGGTCAGTCCACCCCTGATTACAGGTATGTCACAAAAACAGTAGAAAATATGGCAGTGTGACAAGAGCAGCACTGCCTGCAAAAATTGGTTAATTGAAAATCCATGTGGAGTAATATAACTGCAATAAATAGCTATAAAAATATTTTATTTGATCACATGGATCATGAAGAGGTTAGACATAGACACAGTGGACACATCATAATAAAATTACAAAATTAAAAAACATTCGACGTCTTCAAATCTGGTTATTAATCGGCAAGCAGGAATCCACATAAGGCAATGAAGTTTCTTTATAAGGCTTTCCTTGTAATGTCACCATTTAGTATATGTTTTTCTATGTGATTTTGTATTTTAATGTAGTGATAATTTTTCAACACAAGAGGGCGACATAAACAACTTTGTATGCAATCAGGGCACTATATAAGGCAATGGAAGAGAAGTCCCCTCCCAGTTCTGACGAAGTCTGCCGTGATTGGCGGATGAAACGCGTCAATGTGATGACATCATTATGCTCGGTGTCTTCATAGGGTGCGGTGCCCATGAAAAGGGAAGAAGCAGTTTGCTTCAGCTCCATATTTGAAAGGCACGAGGCATCGAGATTACGATGAGGCTATCATCCTAAGCAGCCCGCACATGGCGACTTAGAGTCACAGCTCACTTTCCACCAGTGGCAAGTTATCAGCTTGTTTGGCTTAGACAGTCTCAATTGTTATTTATATACGGGGAGCATACTCCACATATTGGGAACCATGTGCCCATAAGGCCCCTTCTGGGGAATTTTTGAACTCCTATTGGAGGAACATGTTTATACTACGCTACATATGTGCTGTGGTATGTGATATTAGTCTCATATATATCTAAAAGGAACCGCATCATCTCTCAGTAAGAGCAATTTTTGGAAACCCTGACTTGGGTATATATATTCAGGTATATTCTGCCTGTAATAATCAACTTGGACTTTATATATATAGACCATCTGGCTTTCCACCCCATATTCATCATTAGGAACACAAAGACCTGATCTCATTTCAAGTGAGGTGAAGTCTCCTTGATCCTATTTATGGTAATATATATCTTTTTTTTACCCTTATATTTATTTTATTCAGGTATTTTGCTTGATACTCATGATTTATGTCTATACATTCTTAGAACCACTTGCTATTGTGGATTCATTTCTATTTGGGGTGGTCACCCAGGAAGGCCCTACATTCTTCATTTTTTCATGATGGTCAAGCTCATGAGAAGGTAATGGAACTACTACTTAGTCTGGCTATCTTGCTTAAGTACATGATCTGTGTATATATTATTATTTCTATGTTTCCACTACCATGATCCTTCTTTGGTTTCCATTATAGGAAGTCATTCCGTTTATTGTGGTGTTTACCAAAGAATATCTTTGAAGAATGATCTCCCTATCCAGATACTATGTGGAACCATATGGAACTCTATGATCATGTAGTTAGGAAACTTCATTGCCTGATGTGGATTCCTGCTTGCCGATTAATAACCAGATTTGAAGACGTCAAATGTTTTTTAATTTTGTAATTTTATTATGATTTGTCCACCGTGTCTATGTCTAACCTCTTCATGATCCATAAAATATTTTTGTAGCTATTTAATGCAGTTATATTACTCCGCATGGATTTTCAATTAACCACTTTTTGCAGGCAGTGCTGCTCTTGTCACACTGCCATATTTTCTACTAAGTACTCTGGGTTTATAAATCCACATTTATATTATAAGTGAGACGGAGATATTATTATGACACGGATATACGTGTCATATTAGGTGGCTTTTTTCTTTTTGTTTTATGTCACAAAAACAACCTGCTTGTTGCATCTGATTTTGTTTCCAGCAAAACATGTATTACATAGAGTTCAATGTACACCCCCTGCAATACGCATACAATGCCCCACACATGCCAACACATTACTTATGGTACAGGTTTCTTTTGCTACTACTCTTCCAAATGTATCCAAGTTATACTTCAGGATAGATAGACAGTGATAGAGTTTAAAGACATATGCGGTTATGTGGCAAAGATTTCTTTAAAATACAAAACTGCATTTGTTATTGATACATTTCAAAAGGTAAAAGTACTAATGTTACAAAACAGCTTATGGAGTGGCATGATTTTCAACTGTGTATTAGAAAGGTTCATTTGATTTTTGCCTTTCATACACCCTAGGCAAACTAGGTAGCCACCTAAGGTGCACTGCCACCTAGGGGCACCTGGGTGCAGCACAGGCCGGCACTCTCTTTGTGTGGCCTATGGACTTCCTTCTATGAATTCTCAATTTCTCTGCAGAGTCTTCCCCTCCTCATACATGGGGTATGATGAGGGAATGATGGTATCTTTACTCTGCACAATTGTCTCACAGTCTGTCCACACAAATGAGCATTTAGTACATATACAGTGTGTGAATATATATATATATAAAAAAACGGCATTCCATGTAGCAGTGAAATGTCGACTCCCCCTAGGATGGGAAGTGATGACATTAGCCCAGGACCCTGGGTGGTCAGCAGTCTCTGATCAGTGGATTGGTCCGTACATCTCAGGTACACACACTGGCACACATGATCCTCCAGCTGTAACAGGGAGCTGGCACGTGACCGAATGGGGCGTGTCCGCCTTCTTCTACACAGCTGGAGCTAATCAATAGGCGGGGGTGTGCTCTGGTTTCAGGGTTAACTCTACCTGAGTAGGATAATTAGGGCCCGATGTGTATGAGAGGGAAGCGGTGTAGTGCTGGGAGGCCGCCTGTCCTCACTGAGTGCCGTAGCCTGAACTCCACACCCTGGCAGGAGCCATCAGAGCCAGGAAGTATGGCGGGTCATGGAGGTGACAGGAGGAGGAGGGGTGCGGACAAAGGTTGGGGTGTGGGGAACAAATGCTGATTGATCGTGTGGGATGCCATCACATCTTGAGTGATCCTTCAGCTGCGGAAATGGGCGACAGAGGGGGAGAAAGAAAGGACAGAGGAAAATTCTGGGTGTCTGGGGCCAGTGTAGCAGCTGAGCTGCCGCTCCTTCCAGTGTTCCTCTCAGACTCAGTCCCTTACTGCAATCTGGCTGCTGATCACTGTGCAGTTTTGTAACTGTCTCATTTTTCTTTTTTTTTTTTTTGTTTCTCTGCCTGATTAATACAGTTAACTTACATTTGGTAAATATATATTTTGTCTTTAATATTGGTGCTGGTGATATCTTATGGCACCTATTTTGGCAAATTAAAAGAAATTTAGCAGTTTCATGTTTTTGTTGATTTAATATTGTCTACTGTTTTTAAAAATGTAATATTACCTTTTATTTAATGTTTTTTTTTTTTTTTTTTTGTTTTGTTTTGTTTTTTGTGGGGGGGGGGGGGGGTGGAAGTAGCTGGTTTTGCCTAGGGTGTAAAATTGTCTAGCATACACAATAGTCCCATGGTTTGCTGAAAATTATTAAAAGGTACTGTCAGATTTTTAAGTAAAGCTGTGTTAAGTATAGTAGAATGTTTAGCATTTATGGTATACTTATAGTAGTTATATTTTGTTAATTATTTTACCTGTCACGTAATATTTATTTAATAGTGAATGTTTCATTATGTAGCAATTATATTCAAACAACATGAGGAGATACAGAAAATTTTTAAACATTATTTAATCTTGTTATGAGTACTGTATTTGGACCTTATGTATGAAATCATCACCCTCTGCCATGCTCCAGTTTCATTGGGATTTACAATCAATTTTACTGAAAAGTAAATAGTTTAGATCACTAAAGGAATTCTAGGACAACCCTACACCCAACATCTGAATAGTTACATTGTTGTGGTATCGCAACTAAGCCCTGGTTTCACACCGGTGTGACTTCAAGTGTGCCATGCGATTTACAAATCACACCTGAAGTAGCATCTAATGTATTTCTATGGTACTGTCTTAATCAGTGCGATTTGAAGTACTGCGGTTTAAAAAATAGTTCAGGCATTAGTTCCAATTTTATTGTGACTTGCATTGATTTCTGTTAAATGAAGTCACAAGCCACAGTTAAATCAGAGGTACAAATCGCACTGATCTGCAGCTTTGAAATCACACTACTTCAAGTGAAGTAGCGCAATTTCAAAATTGCATTCAGTGTGAACCAGGGCTTAGAGTCAGATTGCTACAGTAGGGTAATGCAGGTTTTTCTTCTCCATCTATCCATTATTACCACAATACATGAAATGTAGCCTGCTTCACTAGAATTCTTGTGGTGTAGCCATGTAGAGGGTTGCCTGCTTTTAGCAGTTTGATTGTTAACCATTCTCCACTACTTGTAAAACTAAAGAATTACATTTTGGCTTTGCACACACTTTAATAATGTTAACCTCCCTGGCGGTATGATTATTTCAGATTTTTGGTGCTGAAAGTTCGAGGGTACCATTATTTTGCATGGAAATTTGGCGTTTTATATTGCAGGCCTGTAATTCTTAGGAATAACTCACTGAAATCTGTCCGAACAAGAGTCTAGTAAAACATTCCGGGTATGATAAAACTTGAAACACGAAATCATAAATTATAATTTAATAAATAATCATAAAAAAATAATATAATAATAAATTTAATTCAATAATATAATCAAACCAAAAACACTGAAATTTTAAAATATAGCGCCAAGTTCGCACATCACTGAGCAAAGTCGCAAAATCGTTTTCAGTGTCTGATGAGGAATTTCCCCCACGAATCATTATCACTCAATTCTGCAAGTGGTTCTAATTTACTATCGCTGTTCTCTAGCCGGTCTAAAACCGCTTTTGACCTAAAGGGACGCTTTTTGGACGCCATGGACATTTCTCAGTTTCCAGGTAGAAAGAACAGTCAAAATGCAGGCAGGGGCGCCGGACAAAGCACTCGGGACAAAATGTATGTGAAATGGTTTGATACAGTAATATTATACTATGTGATTTTTGTGAATGTCACTTTTTGTCCTTTTTGTTCCGTCCCCCGTACGTCCCGACGCTTGCAGAGGACAGAACCCAGATGACAGATGCCGGCATCCGCCGGAAGACATTACAGGGGACACTGCAGGGTGGACATCGCGGGAGCGCAGGACAAGGTAAGTGACTGAGGGATCGAGGAGCAGCGTCACATGGTATTCCCGAGTGTAGCTCGGGGTTACCGCTTGTGGTACTGAAACTTTACCCCGAGCTGCACTCGGGAATACCGCCAGGGAGGCTACTGTGTAAGTAAGGCTCCATTCACACTAGTACGACTCCAAAGTAGTGCAATTTCGAGTGTTACTTTGGATGTGCCTTTGGCTTTGACCAATGATAATGGACAAATGAACTTATTTTATTTGCTTTCTTTCAGTCTGCTGTATTAAAATGATTTTTTTATATCTGTTTGGTAAGTGCAAAAAATACCCATTTATCATGTCATAAATACCTGTTGACTGAGTCCTGTGCACAGTTCCTGTGCTATCTCAGTTTATTTGTTGCAGAATAGAGTAATCATTTCCTATGTTGTGGAGTTTATAAGAAGGAGTGGTATTCAGTAGTTTGACAACACAGACAATTGGGCAAAAGTGACAGCAAGCCTTGAAATTTCAGTCCCCAAAAGACCATAAACAGAAGGTGGAAATGTGGCACACCAAAATCCAGCTACTTTTCAGAGAGGTAAAGATATGGCTTCAACCTGAACCCCTCCTGGCTATGCTACTCCAGGGCAAAGCATAGCAGGAAGAGTTCAGGCTGAGGCCGTATCTTTACCTCTCTAAATAGTGTCTGGGTTCCGATGTCAGAGGTTTCTGTTTATAAGGTGTTTCTGTGGTGAGGGTGAGCATGCGGTCTTAGTGGGGAAGTTGCTGGGGGCCAGTCACAGAGATCGATGGAGTCTGCCAAAAGCCAGGAATAAGGAAAGTAGTTCTCCTCATTTGTGCATCCCTATACATAATTAACATTTAACAGTTGCAGTGCTCCAGATTTCAGTGGTGCCCCCCTCCCCCCCAGGAACCATTGATATTGGTAGCAGGAAGTAGAGGGGCTGAGGGGCAGCATGCAACCTCAGCAGTGCCAAGTTTGCATGGCTACACAGTGACCCTGCCCCTATCCACCACACCACATCATTTGTTTTCATGTTACAGGGATGTGGACCAGGAAGCATGGTATCATTCATTGTGATAGGAGCACTATATTATGAAGAGGGTTGACTCTATTGTTGTGGGGGAATCGGGGGCAAGTTTGTTGTGATGAGGAACACTCTGGACTCTTATGATGGGGAGGATTCCTTTGTGGTGTGGGGAAATCAATGGGAAAGAGGGGATTCTGAAGGCATGGGGGCGACTGATTTGAAGGAGGCGATGTAATGGGTGACTGAAAGCTGACTCTTTAAGTGATGGGTGGAATTTGATATGAAGGAGCTACTCCCCCCATGTGGCGCCAAGGAATGGGTGACATCATCCAGTTCAGATGTCAGTGTTCTTCAGCTCAATAAGTACAGTTCAAGACTGGCGTGTCTTGAGATTTTGCATACATTTAAAGGGTGCCATGACTAAAAAAAAAAAATATTTAAAAATGCTGGCCTAATACGTGTGCTTTTCATTGCAGCCATTTGCCACTTGGAGATATAGGGATCTAAGAGAGGAGAGTGTAAAACAATAGTGTATTGACATTATGCATCCCCCTACCCCGACTTTTTTTTTTTTAAAGCATCCCCAGTTCAGACAAGCTAGATCCAGCCCTAGGGCTGAGGAAGCCTCTCCGTCAAGCAGATGAGACTCTGCACTTTAAGACATCCTGGGAAAAAGATGAAAAAGATTTCAATCTCCACTTCTTGGATCAACAGTGAAAAAAATTGCATTTTAATGCATAAATGCTCCATCAGTTCAAAGATGCAAGAATAAGTTTACAAGTTGGTACAGAACGCTAGAGAAGCTCAGTTTTTCCTTTGGGTGTCTAAAAATTTGGCATTGTGGGGGAAGAAAAGGGCACCCTTTTCAATATCTGGTGGTGCACTGCAGTCATGTAATCAGTAAATAAACAAGTGAAAGTTGAGGCAGTCAGGTCTTGCAGCATTAGAATTAAAATGAACAGCAAACATTTTATTGTGTCTTGATAAAGATGGGCTAAGCCCATTGAAATGTCAGACACAATAAAACATTTGCTGTTTGCTTTAATTCTGCTGCAAGACCTGAGTGTCTCTATCCTTCCTTGCTTACATATATATCATGTATACATAACAATTTCACTTGTGTACTTAATCCTTTAAAATAAAGCAGATATTAATAATAAATTGAAAATAAAATATAGATTTATCAAACACACGCATATATATATATATATATATATATATATATATATATATATACACACACAATAATAATTAATGTATGAAGTGAAACAATCCATAAAAACTTCAACACTAATGTGTAATACTACACAAGCTGACAGAAATTTTTAATTGACCTGTTTTTCATTTTCGTCCTCTAGCCTGAGTCTGTCCTCAATGCAGTTTCTGGCCTGAAGGAATGCTTTTCTCTGGGCCCTTTCTGTCAAAATCCGCACGAAGACCCCGGACAAATTCACACTGACAAAAAGAATAGCATTGGCCACAAGCTGTAAAAAAAAAAAAAAAAAACATTATTATTAGTCATGGGTATTTATACGTAATGCTGTTATATTATGCTGTCTTTTAACCAGGAAATGTTGCTAAATGTATGCTTTAAAATTACTAAAGAAAATATACAACAATGAGATGTATGAGCCATGAGGATGCAATTGGAATGGCCCCTTTATATGCTTTCACCCATGATCAAGATCCAGTTAAACTATCAAGCTGATCTTACACTGATGGCAGGGGTGGACTGACCATTTGGAAACTCTGGCACTGCCTGAGGGCCTGGGGTCAGTAGGGGGCCCCATGAGATGCCCCTGGTACCTTTTTCATAGGCTTTTTTGAATTTGTGCACGGACACAGGGGCCCCATGATCCCCTATTGCCCGGGGGCCCCATGAGTTGACAGTCCGCCCCTGACTGATGGTTAATGTGTATGGTGAGGTCTCAATTTGGTGTGTGTATTAAAAATCCACATAATGTTGGTTTTATACCTTCCTATTCTTTTGAAATGCACACAGTTAACATGGCAGATATGCTCAACTGATGTGGTTTTCTTCTCATATGGCATGTGCATTATGACAGTAGACACATTTGGTAAGTTAGCACTTGAGTATTGTCTTGCAAAAAGTAGCTGTGCACCTTCGGCAGTCATCGTGATCCTTAACAAAAGGTTAACAGTATCTAAAGCATGCACAAAGGTTAAAGGACATCTAAGACTAGACTTCCATCTATCAGTTGAATACTACTAATATGGCATCACTCGTCCTGCAACTGGCAGTGATTCACAGATGTGCGTAACAGCAAACAAGATGCTGAAAGAAGCCAGTATTACATGGAGGATAAATGTGGGTTGAAACAGCTGATAAATTTCCTTATTCCTTACATTCAACGCGTTTCATCAGGAAAACATAGTAACATGTATAATACATATCATCTGTGTTCAGTGCACGTTGCTATGTTTTCCTGATGAAGGATAGGAGCCTTTTTTTCTGAAACACATTAAGAAAGAATTAGGAAAACTCATCAGACACCAGGGGCGGACTGACCATTTGGAAACTAGGGCCCCGGGGTCAGTAGGGGGGCCCCATGAGATGCCCCTGGTACCTTTTTCATAGGCTTTTTTGAGTTTGGGCAAGGATACAGGGGCCCCATGATCCCCTATTGCCCGGGGGCCCCATGAGTTGTCAGTCCGCCCCTGTCAGACACTTATCTATCCACCACACATTATTGTGATCTTTCAGCACTTCGACAGGAGCTTGTTGACAACAACCTTGTCTCTTAAGAAGTCCCAAAACATGATGTATGCATGACTTCTGTGCAGTAGAAGGTAATCAATGTAATATTAGCAGTATTTGATTAAAGCCGGTATGTCTTCTCCTTGAAACACTCTTCAATTTGTTCATAATTCAAAAGCATTAAAGAAAACCATATTTTTATTTTAGGTACACCACAGCTTATGTTCAGACACTGGAGTGTACATACAATAGAAAACCCTTGCATATGCGTTGTAGTCGATACATGAACATCCTACACACACATCTGTAAGTAAATCCGGTCATTTCATACAAGGTCCTCCATATGCAAACATGGTAAAATATTAAGTATCATAGAAAACTAATAAGGATTATATCTAAAAAAATATCAATTTTCTAATTGACTTCACATTCCCACTGAAAACAATGCATCATGTACAGGGGCGGACTGACCATTTGGAAACTCAGGCACTGCCCGAGGGCCCGGGGTCAGTAGGGGGCCCCATGAGATGCCCCTGGTACCTTTTTCATAGGCTTTTTTGAGTTTGGGCAAGGACACAGGGGCCCCATGATTCCCTATTGCCTGGGGGCCCCATGAGACCCCCTGACCATGTAGACTTGCGCAATTATAGCACACGCTACCCAGCAAATAATTGTACCCAAAGTAATAAAAACATTCACAGATCTATGAAATTGTACATGTCTGAGCAAACACTAAGATTTTTTTTTTCACATAATTATTGTACATCTAATTGTTATTATTGCTACATTATTACAAGTTGAGCAGATATTAATGACTAGATTTTTTTTCCTCCTCCAAGCATTGTAACTTTCCCTAGGCTGCTGGATATACAAAAATATTGATGCAGGTTGCGGACAGTGTAATGCAGCTGATGGATGGTGAATCTGTCATTGTCCAAAGTCTTTTATGGACTGCATCAAGGCCTCCCACTATAACTGGTACCACCAGTGTATTTCTTTGCCAGAAGACTCTAATTCACTTTGCAGGTTCTTATCAGTTATGGTCTCTTAGAGATGTTTTTACCAATATAATCTGAGGTGGCAGGGGCGGACTGACAACTCATGGGCCCCCGGGCAATAGGGGATCATGGGGCCCCTGTGTCCTTACCCAAACTCAAAAAAGCCTATGAAAAAGGTACCAGGGGCATCTCATGGGGCCCCTTACTGACCCTGGGCCCTCGGGCAGTGCCCGAGTTTCCAAATGGTCAGTCCGCCCCTGCTGAGGGGTTATATAGATATTTTTCTATCCGGAGCCAGAAACAATTGAGTACTGTCCGTAATACTTTTTTTTATTATTACAGAAGTTGCAAACAAGGATGAATCTGCACAGACATACCATCAAGGAACATAAAGAAGATGTCCTCTGCACACCTGTGGGACACCATCTCACACAACTAGGCCACACTATGGAAGACCTCAATGTTTTAGTTCTGAAAGGAAAATTCAAATCCATTCAGGAAAGAAAAACTTTTGAACTAAGAATGGTAATTCTATTTGACACAAGAGATAACGGCCTTAACTTGGACATGGGATTCCTCAACCATTAGCCGACAGTTTTTATGACTATTAGCTAGCTTGACTCCCTCTGTGTGAGTGTAGTATCCCCCCTCCCCCCCTCCTTTTGCTGTATCTTATCTGTAGCCTTTTTTTTTTTTTTCATCCCTTCTAAACATTCTGCTTAAACTTTGTGATTTGTAATAGTACTGCTTGGACCTTGAAGAAGGGGACATACCCCGAAAGCTTGTCCTCAAAATTGTACGTTAGTGCAAATAAAAAAAGTATCACGGACAGTACTCAATTGCTTCTGACGCAAATGCACTAATACGGCTACAATCCCCTTTATCTGGAGCCAGAAATCCATAATATATTTACTATATCCAATATCTTTAAAAAAAGAGAAAAAAACTGTTCATGCAATAGATTACATGATTTAACACTATTTAACTAAAAAAAATAATACCAAACCTGCACTGAATGGCATGACATAGCATGGCTGCATGCTATCCCTTTGCATTCCTTTCATGTTAAATCATGGTAGATGATCTCCTGTTAGATTAAAAGTTGGAGCTTCCGTCACGATATTGCACAATTAGTTTATTCATGTGACAAGATTCTCTCATTTAACCATAACTAAGGATACACTGAGTATGAAAACTTTTTTTTAAAGTACTGGTACTGATTACCAATACTTAATGCCTAGGAAGAGTAGGTAGAGAGGTGGTTTAGGTGGTGGGGAGGGGAGTTAGGGAGTTGGAGTGTTAAATTGGAGTGGTAGAGGATTAAGAATGAATGGCACCCACGCATGTCTGCAAAAGGCAGCACATTTTTGTGCATTACAGGAAAACACCCAATTTCACATATTCGTGCACTGCACTTGGTGTGAACAAGCCCTAAAATGTACTCTGTAAGTTCAGTTGTCTGTAGGTTGTAAACCTCCCTCCCCCCAAAATCCCCCCTCTTAGCACAAATCCCCCCCATCCCCCCTCCTAGCACAACCCCCCTAAATACCCCCTCCTAGCACAACCCCCGACCCAAATTCCCCCTCCTAGCACAACCGCTCTAAATCCTTCCTCCTAGCTCTACCCCCCTAAATCCACCCTCCTAGCAGAACCCCCCCAAATCCCCCACCTAGCACAACTCCCCCCCCCCAAATCTCCCCTCTTCCAAACACAAATTCTGTCCCTACAGTAGTAACATCAGGGAGGGGGAGAGAGCTAGGAGGGAGTGTGGGTTGTGTGCTCTTTCTCCCCCCCCCCCCCCAGATACTCTCTTTCCTCTACATTCAGATCTGAGCAATCCTCATCCTCTCTTTGCTCCTGTGCAACATGAGGCAAAGAGCTCAGCCTGCACCTCTCCCGCTCTCTGCTCCTCTCTGTACCCTTACTGGCAAAACAGAAAGCTGAGCTGGCCGCCTGACTGCATCCTACCAATGGAGGACTTGTCGGAAAGAGAACAGAGAGGAATAGAAAGCGCGGGAAGTGCGGACTGAGCTCTCTGCTTCTTCTGTACACAGGACTTTACAGTGCTCTCTGCCCCATGTAGCACAGGAGCTAACAGAGGATTGAGGATTGCTCAGATGGATAGATAACTATTGCTGGCATTCCTTTTTTACAGTTCAGCTGTCTGCAGGGGAATCCCGCTAACAGTTGAAATGACATTGGTTAAGGATGCGGCGGCCTCCCTCCTTAACAACCGATAACACTGTTCAACAGGTAAAAAGTTTTGGGCATAAAATTAGCTAATCTTACATAATTTTGGGGTGCTGAAAATGAAAATGACCCTAAAAAATGTTGATTGGCTCTATTTTCCATGATATATTCACCCATCTAATGACGTAAGCCATTCAAAATTATGATGCAACTTCAGCTGCATATTGCGCAATTGATACTGGTGACCAATAGAAAATTACATGTATACTGAGATGATGCAATATTAGCCTTTAATTGCATCACTTCACTGCATAAAAGCTGCAGTATCTGTAGCTGATTGTAGTTCGACAGCGTATTTACATTTCGTTTTATGCTTATATAGGCTACTCAGTAATGCCTCGAACTTGTGTGAATAAAGCAGATAATTTCTGCTATATCTGCGGTGAAATAACTTTTATCTCACAAAAAAGGAGGATAACAGGAATGAATTAGAAAGCCTACAACTTGTATTTTGGCTGCAAGATAGGAGACCAGGACAAGAGCTGGGCACCACATATATGCTGCAATTCTTGTGGGACGGCACTGGAGCAATGGTTGAATGGAAAAAAGGCATCTATGCCTTCGCTGTGCCAATGATTTGGAGAGAGCCAACAGATCATGTTAGTAATTGTTACTTTTGTATGGTGTCTCTCCAATTGTAAAAGGGCTAAATAAGAAGAAAAAGTTATCTGTGCACTATCCAAATATTCCATCGGCAATACGTCCAGTTCCTCATGGAGAGGGGCTACCAATTCCTAAAGCACCAGAATCCTTCGTGGTTGAGTCAAGTGAGGAAGAACCTGAAGCGTGTAGTCATCAACCGTCAACCTCATATGACCCAGACTTTCTTCCATCCACACCCACTGAACCACACCTCATTACACAAGTGGAATTGAGCGATCTTATCAGAGACCTGGATCTTCCGAAGAACAAGGCAGAGCTTTTGGGGTCAAGACTACAACAGTGGAATCTCCTAGCAAGTGATGTTCGTACGTCTTTCTACCGTCATCGTCAGAAAGATCTGATACCATTCTTCGTCCAGGAAGGTGATATTGCTGTATGTAACAATGTTCATGGTTTAATCTCAGCCATCGGCGTATGCTATGATCCCGATGAGTGGAGGCTGTTCATTGATGCTTCAAAGGCGAGTCTTAAAGCTGTTTTGCTCCATAATGGCAATCAGCTGCTGTCAGTTCCAGTTGCTTACGCAGTTTCAATGAAAGAAACTTATGAAAACTTGAAAGAGCTTTTAAGGTGCATCAACTATGATGAACATCAATGGTCGATTTGTGGTGACCTGAAGGTGATTGCTATCCTACTTGGACTTCAAGGTGGATATACTAAGTACTGCTGCTTCCTCTGTGAGTGGGACAGTCGTGCGAGAGAAATGCACTATGCCAAAAGAGACTGGCCATTACGCCAGTCATTGCAGCCTGGAGAAAAAAATGTTAACTATCCAGCGCTTGTAGACAGCAATAAGATCTTATTACCTCCATTACACATCAAGTTGGGATTAATGAAAAACTTTGTTAAGGCAATGGACAAGAATAAAGCAGGTTTCAAGTGCCTGATTAGCAAATTTCCAGCACTTAGTGCTGCAAAAATAAATGAAAGAGTCTTTGTTGGGCCACAGATTCGTAAACTTATTCATGATGATGAGTTTCTTTCTCTGTTGCGTGGAAAAGGAAAAGGCTGCCTGGACAGCATTTGTATCAGTGACATCAAATTTTCTTGGAAACAATAAAACACCAGACTACAATAAAGTGGTAGAAAAACTCATCCAGACTTACAGAAATCTGGGTTGCAACATGTCTCTAAAAATTCATTTTCTACATTCGCATCTGGATTTTTTCCCACCAAACTGTGGAGCAGTGAGTGATGAACACGGAGAGCGCTTCCATCAAGACATTGCAGCTATGGAAAGAAGATATCAAGGTAAATGGAGCCCATCAATGCTTGCTGACTATTGCTGGACAGTTGTAAGAGATAGCCCTTTCCTCGAATACAAGAGAAAAGCCAAGAGAAGCAAAACCGACACAAACTGAAGACAAAACTAGTGAGAATCCTAAGTATTAAAATGATTCAACTTAGCTTATGGCTATAATTGTTCTTGGTAATCCTATGCAATATATTATGTCATTTAGGCTTTGTTATGTAGTCAATATCACTTGCTTTATATTTGTGGAAAGACATCTATCTATATAATTATTGTGCATTATGTAGTCATTACGCCTATAGTAGAAAACTTTCCGTTTACAGAAAAACTAGACAATTGACAAATTTCATTGTTATATTTGAACTCAGAATGTGAAATTCATTAAGAAATGGATCCTTTTGTTTCCAAAACTGGCAAAAAAATAAAAATTTGTTGAAGAGTGTAATTGCCGGC